GCTATGGGATTTGACCATGAGCAGCTAGGACCCCTGTTTAGGATCCATCTGCAAGGCATACATAGTAATGGAGTACTTTATGACTTTCTGTTTACTTCTACATCAATAATGTAAGTAAATTTATTTTTGACACACATTTAAAAAGGAAAAATTAACCATTTCACGTGTATCACAATTATTCCTATATAGCACCTTTCACATCTATCAAAATTATTAAACCCATTAGGCATTTTAGGACAAATAAACAAGTAGGACTTTGGTGCTAACAATGGTTTATACTAGGGGACACTGTAGATGCAGTGAAACATCAAGGAGTAACCTGAAGGCAAATGTTTTGGCTTTCAGTAAAATAAAGAATGACTTTTTTCAGTAAATGGAGCATTTGTTCATGGGATCATAGAAAATTAAGGTTGGAAGGGACCTCAGGGTGGACCTCATCTAGTCCAAACCTGTTCAAAGCAGGACCATTCCCACCTAGATCATTCCAGCCAGGGCTTTGTCAAGCCAGACCTTAAAAACTTCCAAGGATGGAGATTCCACCAACTCTCTAGGTAACTTGTTTCAGTGCTTCACCACTCTCCTAGTGAGGGAGTCTTTCCTAATATCCAACCTAAATTTCCCTTGCTGCAGTTTGAGACCATTGTTCAAGTTCTGTCATCGGCCATCACTGAGAACAGTCCAGCTCTATTCTTTTTGGAACAACCCTTCAGGTAGCTGAAAGCCAGTATCAAATCTTCTCTCAGCCTTCTCTTCTCCAAAGTTTTGTTATAGTTTTATAATGGTCAGATTGCATTATCTCCCTCAAATACAGCTACCACAGTGAGGGGAATATCCTACATACCCAATGATTAACACGCAACAGTAGCAAAAAAAGAAAAGGAACGCAAGTTAATCTCCATCATCATTTTTGTCCAAGTCCTTTCTGTTGAGACTGACAACAATGGTGCCAGCTGTAATACTTGAGGAGGGTTTTTATGTGATGTGGAGCACTTCTTATTCAGGAAAAATTTCAGCAAGTTATGCAATGGTACCAAAATATAACCAGATAGTAATAACCTAAAACTACCTCAGGTTGAATTTGAAATGGTGACCTGGACACTCATTGTTTAGTTTTGAATTACAAAGTCTTTGTACTGTCTGGTTCCCATCAAAAACACCATAAGGAGTACATGAGTATTTTAGTACAGGAGTATTTTAGTATAGAAAAGGATCTTGAGGAGTGACTGCACAATAGCTTCTTGCTATGCACACCCAATTTAAAAGGAGTGAACATGATGAGCAATTTTTCACATGCTTAGTATGTGTGTATGTGTTAATTTATTTATTGGGATAATTGGGTTTTCCCCCAGCTAAGGAAAAGCCTGTGTTGCTGACATTACAATGTGTTTGTGAAGAAAGACTGATACAGCAACACACACAAGCAACTGCAAGGTCATTACTTACCAAGCATAATTAGAACATCCATTCTGAAAGGGGGAAACATTTAAAAGATAAAGGGTGTATTTAAAAATGATTCTTCCCAATGCAGTTTTTTGATAATTATAGTTTTAACAGCTTATGGTGATGGTGGAAGTGGCTATTTAAGAAAAATTAGGAGGCTCATTCAGGGGAAGATGATCCCTCAAGAGACCTCATGCTGTCATTTTTCAAGAACCCTGAGCAGAAAGCTCATTCCAAATGCTGCGTGTCATTCTGATGCATCTGGAGTAAGCATAGCTTTCTTATGATCAGTGCAGATATTTTTAATTAAAAACACCATAAACATGTTGCCCCCTTACCCTCTTCCCTATGTGTGTGTGTGTGTGCGTGCACACGCACGCATACATATGTCTGTGGAGCTGCACAGGAATGAACACATTGTAGATATGCAATGGGAATCTGGCTTTTACTGAGTCAGACACAGTAGGTTTTCTAAATCTATGTATGGCATATCTTAGCATCAAAACTCTTACTGCAGCAGATAAACCCTTTATAATTTTCACAGTTTTGTGCAGTTGCCAAGGGGAGGTAGGAAGACAAGAAAGGAAGAAAGAAAACAAAACAGTCACCTCATTTAATTTATGACCAAGCCTATTGTTTTACAAAGAACCTTCATGATAAATAAAGTCTCATGGCAACATTTTCAACTGTGCTTTTATCAAGGCTCTCCGAGCAGTGTGTGTAATACGCCTGGCAATCGAATCACAGCTGTGTGCCTTGGTAGGGAATCTCTTTGGAGACAACACTTCCTTAATTTAAACAATTGTAGGCTGCAGGAGTTCAAAAATTTCAGCTGACTTTAACTGTCACTAGCCCAAGCACCTTTATCCCCAGGCGAGCAGCAGCAGCTGGATTTCATTTCCTGCTGCCAGACTGTCCGACATCTTTGCTGAACATCCCAGGAACTGAGCGTCTTTACTTTAAGGATTTTATTCAAGGTGACAGCTCCTCACACTTTAGCGTTCAGATCACCTCAAGTAGCTGAGATATCAGTGAAAATGAGAGCACTTCTACAGCAAACTCCAAATTTAGATTGACTGAGGTTATCCTTAGGCCTCTAGACCCAACCTCCATGACAGAACAGGCCTGCCAGTAACTTTAAAACTACAGTGGAGTTTGTAATGATGTCTGGAGAGAAATATTCTGCAGGAGCAGTGGAGAATACTATAAGTGATAGGAAATGATGTCAGATTTAGTTAGGACTGGAGACAGTGTTAGAATATACTTGGCATAATATGGCACCGGTATCTCTGTCAGCATCTCTGTTTTCTGTCACCGCGCACAATTCTAGGCCTGTCTATAGTCCTGACAGCGTCTTTTCAGATCAGGTTATTGCCAACTCGGAGACTCGCTCAGCGCAGTGCCATACAGCCCCCTTTGTTTGAAGTCTGCCCTTTTGTCATTAATGCACTTGATGTCTATTTAAATCTGATGGTGAATGCAGTATCTGTTTTCCTGTCAAGAGATCATTGACAATATTAATACCTCATGTCCTTGCCTCATTTTCTAAGCGCTGACACCTAGCTGCAGTCTCCAGCATTCATCAAACAGCACTTGCTCACCAGGGTCTCTATAAACAGTCTTGCTTCCAGTCCTTAAGAAATGCGGCAAACCTCAAATAAGACTTTTATCAATGCCAGTGAAAAAAAGGAATCTGAAATATGTCATTAATAAAACGTTCAAATCCTTTGAATTTACAGCTCTAAATCTAGAAACCCATCCACCCTTGTTACCAATCTAATGTCACCTATGTTTTTGCATGTAATAGTGTTGCTTTAGGAGACAAAAGCTTGCTTTTCACATGCTATTTATGACTGACAGTTGCATTCCTAAAATATGGAAGCTGATCCAGTGGTCAGTGAGGTTGCCAATGCTCTCTCCAAGCCTTCTGTAGAGTTGGGTTAGATAGGGACTTAGCGCAGCACCGTCTAGTCCCCTTTTGTGTTTTCTTAAGCTCAATGTTTTTCACAGCAAATGACAGGCCTATCTATTTCCTTTCATAGGAATGTATTACTACCCTGATGCTTAAAAGAGAGAGAAGGAGAGAAATTGGGGATACATTAATTTGGCACAGCCCCATGCCCTCTAGTTTCAGTTACTTTTTTTACCTATATTATTATATTGCTACAGTGCATGCAAATTATACAAAGCACAATTAACACTTCAGAATGTAGGTAAGCACAGCTTTTAAGGTTTCCATTTGTTCAGGTAGGGTGTGAAAACATAAAACTTTGCAATAAGCAGAGGATATACTTTGCTCAGGCTTTGCCCTATATATAAAGGAGTATTTGTTTCCTTTGGGTTGGATTGTGGTTGTCCTTTTGTATGTGAGCTAGATACTACATGGATGATCATTTTCAAAACACACCAAATAGCAGGAGGCAAAAAGATCTTGCACCTACCAAAACTGCAGAGGAGACAACTGTAATTTGACTTCCTGAGCTTGGAGGGGCAAAGGGAGACGTTGCTAGTATCTGACATAATCTCTCCCCCTTGGCTCCCTGCATTTCAGCTGTCACCACCTGGCAGGAAGTGCAAAGGAGCAACTTCAGTATGGTAGTTGTACGGTACAGTAGCAAGTTGTATTAGTGAATGTTTTATCCTGCATCCAAGATGCATTATAGCTTGTATAGCTATTATCCCTTCTTCCACCCATACTAAAGACTGTGGATCTTTCCCCATTAAGCAATGTTCTGACTCAATGCAGCTTATATTTAGAAAATATGGGGGTGGGGGGGTTCACTTCATTGTATGCATCCATCCATTGCAGTTTCTGAACATTTTTTTTTCTTTTGTACTATCATTTGGAGAATTGGTTGTAAATACAGTTTCAGGGAGGAAGTAGAACGTTAGGACAGATGGGAGGTCCTAGGTTGTAGACCCGTTCTGTCAATGACTAGTCTTCTAGCCTTTGGCAGATCACTAGACTTCTGTGCCTCTGCAAAGTGAGGATAATGTTAATTGCTTACATTACAGAGTTATTGCAAGCATAACTTTGTGGACCTCTGAGCAGAGCTTTTCACTAGTTTGATGGCAAGCTGATTAATAGTAATTTACTATCATTTTATTAACATCTGTAAACCTATGAGACTTGAAAAGATTTATCTTCATATTATGTTTATGGGGGGGTAACAAGCTACAAAATTACAGCACTGTTTGAGAATCTATCTTTAGTCAGACTCCACAAACAGTACAGAAATAATTTAAAACACAGCATACAGGCAGTCAAGTGTATTGCTTATATACCAGATCTTGAAAACACTTGTATACATGTGTGTAACAGGATGCATCATGCAGATACTCAGATGTGTGTTTGCAAAGCTGACCACACAGTCATTAATTTGAACAGTAAAATATAAAATACTTCAAATTAACATACTCTGTTTTCAGCAGACAGCGAGAGAGAGAGCTGTTCCCCCCTGTAGTTTAATCCTCCTCCCTACACGACCTTAGTAATATGCTTCTATTACATACTGTGTTAATTGCTGACCTTAATCTAATTTGTTTTCTTGTCGCTGTAGGTGTTCTAGGAAAATGTCGCTACGTTTACTATGGGAAGCATTCAGAAGGCAACAGATTCATCCGAGATGACCAGCTCTAAAATGCAACACCATTCTGTGCCACTTCAAACTATCCACATTCATGCACACAAAAAGCACAAATTGCATCTACATTTTAAGCATGCAACTAAAGTCCTCCAGTACCTTCTGCTGACTTTGCCAAGCCTGTCAAGATCATCCTTCTGTCTTAGTCTGAGTAGTCACACAGAGATTGACATGATTGCCTTTAAGCAGGTCCCATCCACCAGTGTGACAGACAGCTGCAGCCAAGCACCAGGCCTGACAGGATGAACACCATGATGGATTGCCTGGTCCAATTGCTGCTCACAGAAGAGCAAAGGTCACACCTGGGGCTTCACTGAGCATGCTCAGTTGGTTTTTAGCAAGAGCAATGCTTTTATCTAAAGCTCGCCTGTTGAGTGAGAGAAGCTGGCAGTATCAATATGTTTATAAAAGCAATAGCTGTAATTTAAGATTAAAAAAACCCTTATCTGTTCATATTTCCCCCCATGAATTAAATACTTAAATTTCTTAGACAGACACGCACACAATCCTCTTCAAGCTTTATATGAGAATTAAAAGTTTGTGGGGGGTGTATGCAGTCAGTAATGTCATATTTAAATATTTCTCAAAATGCACAACCCTATGAATTTGTTTTTTTAATTTAAGAAGTATCGGAGCAATTTAACAGATTCAGCTGAACCTAGGAATCTTTCTTTTGATTAGAATCTCAAGATTTAATAAATCTTAACATTCAGAAAAGGAGATCATATTTAATGCTGCAGAACAGGTAACACAGAGGACCCCCTGTTTAACTGCATTTCTTTGAAAAAAAAAATACAGAAGTGGCCGTTTGTAGTTATTCCTGGCATATTTGACAACATTTTTTAAAAATTTGGGCAGAGATTAAGTTTAGATAACTGTTGAACTGTGGGGAGGTGGGGGGGACGGTTTGAAGGGGGGGAAGCCCTAAAAATAAAAACCATTACCGAGCTTGGATAACATTTAGAGGGGAGAGAAAGGTAAAACTGAGGGAATTATGAATCCTATGTTATGTACATTCAAATGACATAAGCATGGCTCCTGTCAAGTTTTTGATAACTAATACAGATATCCTTAGCTTGTTGCAAGCCTTTTTAAATGGAGTGGATATATTTGGAGCAACAATTCCTTTTGTTATTGTGAATCAAGTTGCCAGACTTAATAATATAATGCACCAACAACGAGTATGAAGAGCATTGTGAGCAACGTACAAATTGTGAGGAAGTACGTTGTGGCCCCGTGTAGCTGCTCCTCTTGTACTGTCTTAATCTTGGCTAATTTGCTTTTGTGCATAGTAAATCAAATTTTGATTAAAAGCCTTTAGAAATATGAGAGATAGGTATTTAGGGATGTTGCTTCTTATGTAAAATAATATGAGAAATCAGGATGCTTGCTTTCTAAATTGGTTACCAAAATAACAGCACGATGCTATCCTAGCTAATTTATATCACGGTGTCTATTTTGAAGTATCAGCACATTTTGGCCATGGCATATTACAGTCAGCAGGATTCAAAGCAGGGGTGTTTGGAATAACCTAATATCACATTCAGTCTAGTTGCATATGTGTTCTTGTCTTTATAAAAGGCTTAACCCTGCCTCAAACAATAAAAAGCACTTGCAAACTGACCACATGATTTTTCTATCTTTATTTTGCCTCCTTGTTTACTTATCTTAATGTCAAAACCATTTGTATCATTTTCAGGAATGTTTTCCTCCATGCAAAGCTTTTGGAGGCAAGCATAGTTGTGGAATTAGATGTGACCAGAGTCTTTTATTGTTGCTTATTGTTCATTATTTTTATTTTAAATGATGCACCGGCCTTAATTAAGGCTAGTTTAGTTTGAACTCATGCTAGAACCCACTCAATTTGTATACCCTTCAGAATAATCCTATTACTAATATAATTATCTATCATGTATTAGTTTATAATTCAAATACAGGTATGGCTGTTTAGAGTGGTTTCTGCTAATGCAAATTACTCTAACATAGATAGCATTTCATTTTCCGACATTTTGCACCGATACTCTGTTTTATGGCCATCCAACTGCCAGCCCACAAGGGGTTAACAAGCATCCCCTGCCAGGCTTCTGTCCAGCCACCACTGCTCCCATTGCTCTGGTTGCTGTTGCTATGCCAGCTGGGGTCCCTGGGGCAGGATGGCATGGTAGGAAACCTGGTGAGCTTGCTGCCCATGCACCAGTGGGGGTCTTCAGTGGGGAGCTTGTGCTGCTTACATGGCAGTGGTGGCAGGGAGAGAGGTGGCAGCAGGGGAGCTCACATGGCAGAGGTGGTAGGGAACTTGCACTGCTTGTATAGCAGGGGAGGGTGCACACTGTGTGGGTTCTGGGAAGCTCGTGGGGCCCCTGTGGCATATAGCCCATGTGCTTTGCAGCCTGTGGACTGCAGTCTGTGTCACATGCAGCCCTGAAGTTGGACAGCCCTCTTGTTTCAAGGTGTGGCAGATATTTTGTGGCCATCACTAGTAGGTCATTCAGGCTGGGTACAAAGATTCAAAAAGCACAAGGCAGAATCGATTTAAGTTGCATGGTTCTCTGTAAGTGGTGTAGTTTAGATCAGTAGTGAAAAGAACATCCTTGGAAAAGGGGGGAGGGGCGTTGAGGGAGAAGGGCAAACCTTAAACTGGGTTCTGCCATTTTTAAACCAGACTGTGTGCTGAACTTCTGTTCAGTTATAAGTAAAGGTAATTAATTTGCTCAAGAGCCTGGGAAAACTTAAAACATGGTCAGAAAAAGTGGAATGGGTATGTAGTCCCTACCCACCAGCAGGTTTATATTTGGGGACTGATTCAAAACACACTGTATACCAAATATTTCATTTTCAGATATCATTGGGAATCTTTTGATTTCAATGGGCTTTGGGTCAGGCCCTCCTTTGCTAGCAGGTGAAATGATGGAGGTCAAATCCTCTGTTTCCTGTCAATACCACCAAGCAGCAGGGAACTATTACACTGACGTACTGGGCCAGCTATTTTGCTAGTTTCCTCCTCTTATCTTTGCTCAGCTTCTTTCACGTTATACTGCACATCCAGAGCAGTGCTCAGTGTGGGAAGTACCACATACAGTAAGGGCACAAAGGATGATTAATTGGTGTTTTCAAGGAAAAGGTACAGAGATGTTTTGTTGGCCCAGCCAATTTTCTAATTTGTGCCATCTTTGATTACAATGTATCCTTCTTTGTCATTTTTCACAAAAAAATGCAGAATAGAAAATGGATGTTTTGGTCTGGTTTTTTGGTCCTTCTTCCCCTTGGAACTATTTGTGTTGCAACTGAATTCCTGACAGGGATGTTGAAAAATAAACTATAGAAAAACAAATTCTGTAGTACTGTATTTGCACAAATAGAAAATGGCCCTGATTGTAAGATGACCCCCCAAATAATTATATTCTGTATATATGGAAAGCATATATTTCTTATAATTTTCCAGGTACAGAATCTAGTTATTGGAGGTTAGGTTTGCCTTAAATTTGTCGCCCTTCCACTTCTACAGCAGAAAAAATAAATCTGGGGGGCAGGAGGTCAGATGGCCCTTTGTTTTTTCTTCCTCCTAACTTTTAGAGGAAGTTTTAGCACAGGTACTCCGTAAACAGACTTTTGAGCAGCATTTGGCACCTACTTATAAATATGACCAACTGGGTGCACCTATGTGAGATGCTACTGTGCAGTGGTTATTGCACATTTATTTAGTACTTGTATAAGCAAGTACCAAATAAATGCACAGTAACTGGAGTTACTGTGCAGTAGTGTCAGCAAATGCCTTTTAAGTGATGCTATGGCACAGTAGTGTCTTGGCATGGTTTTTGCCGCACGCTGTTGCACAGTAGTATCAAGCTACTGTTGAGCAGTGGCATATCATGGGTATCCAGTGCCCAGAGGCCAATGCTTACATTTGTGCCCCCCCCCCCCC